TTTGCTTGTGCCACCTTTTCAAAGGTTAGGATAATAATTGGTAAGACTCTTCTTCTGGTTAATGTCAGAATTTTCTCTTTTAATGTCTTTTACCTTATGAATGCTTTATCAGAATTTCCTTAAGTGTACCTTGCACTTGTGTGTACACATTTATTTAAAATGCTATTTTTAGGAGGTATCCATGTTTTAAATAGATGCCCCATTTTTATTTTAAATAGGGTTTATTATGTCTATCTGCCTGTGCCCTTGAGAAATCAAAGAAAATCTGCTCTCTGAAAGAGTTTGAATCTGTGCCGCCCTTTGTAGGTGAAACCGCTGTCTGATCTGGCATGCCCTCGACTGCTTGACCACAAAAAAGCATCACAGTCCAGCATGGCTCCATTTTCACCCTTAAGGAATGCACACTCTTTTGTTCAAGATTTCACAGTTCTAGCATCACTCTTTCATAGTCAGCCTATGAACTTTTCAACCTACTTTTGTTTTTTGTCATATACGTGTCGGTCACCACTTACTTCATAGAGTTGCTTTATAATAATATGAGCTCGTTAAATTACCAATTGTTTAAATAGTGTTTGACTTTATTTATTAACTAATTGGGATTTTTATCTTTTGTCAAATGATGAAAATATTAATTACAGAGGAGAAATTAGTTGATAAATGTTTCACTAAGTTTGCATAAAAAATTTCATTAATGAAAACAAAATTCTATGTTAATGAATACATAGAAAATGTTTAAACATTAACTGAGGCTTGTTTAAAATCTTGTTCACTTTGAATTTTTCACTTTTATGCTTTGTTTTATTATCATTCTCTGCCTTTTATATATCTCTGTTATTTCCTAGTCTGCTCTTGTGTATTCACTCAAAAATCTTTAGAGGGGGAATAAGAAGCTGTTCTTGTGTAGCAGAATTTAAGATTTCTTTCAAGAACATAATTATATTACGAAATAACAAACACCATATCATTTGAAGACATTCAACAGCAGTAACAACTGAAATAGCACATTGTAACTAGAAGGGAAAAATAATGATCTCACACTACCTTAAACAAGATTTGGAAGGAAACTCTCATCAATACTAGAAGTGATGTTAACTGTGGGCTTGAGGGGCCTATTTTTCTGAAAAACTCTTTTAACACATTGCCTCCCAAGTGTTGTCTCAGGGTCCCGACACGATATCTTAATTAATTTTGATACAAGTGACTTGGTTTTAACATTGTTTCACATATTAGAGACAAGGATATCATAGGTAGTATTTATTACCCATGACCCACTGGGTGCTTCATTTGGTACCCAAGTCCATTTTACAACTGATAGTCCTCCATGATCCACCCGTGGGTCATTGAAAAATTCCCAATATACAAGTATGACATTTGATATTAACTCTCATTTTCTATATTCAAAAATATTTGAATTTTTTGATAAAAAATGTGGTTCTGGTGTACACCATGATTTCATAAGCAATCAATCATAGTATCCCACTTCTAATCATTCTTATAATAAAGAAACAGGAAAACAACCCACTGGAGGGTCATGTGGACTTTGCAGACATGACCCTACCATAACCCTACAGTGGATCATGTGGGAGCCAACATGTTAAGAGAAAGTTTTTATAAATTTCATCTGACAGTAATACGAACTGTTCGGTCAATAAAGGTTGAATATTTCTTGTATGGAAACAGGTATTCTCACCATTATTTTTATAAAACATGACAAAAGCCCATATTTTTTTGGGTTTTTATTCCTTTTTGACTGGAATCTCTGATTCTTAAAAAGAATTTTCATAATGTTGATTTGATTTTATTTGAAGGTTCAAAAAATTATTAAAAAAAAATTAAGTGAAATTCTTTTATTTTATTACCAGTTTTTGTTTTTCTCTTCCTATTAAAGAATTGGGGTGGCAAATTGACTATAAATTTGTGACCAATTTAATCACAAAGCTTCAATGGCTAAGTTGATGTCTGTTAAATGTGAGCTTCTAAGGCAAGGAGTTTTGAGTTCAATTCTCATTGGAAGCTATTTTCAATTTCGTTCCACTTTTGCTTTCTTAACTTTGGGTTCGGAGAAGAAAACCACAGTGAAGTAAAATTTAGAATAAAACAATCAAATGATTCCAAAAATATATTTTGAGTTCATTGAGGCCAATATTTTTCAAATTTAAATTTCATCATATAAAAATGGGAATATTTTCCCATGATATTTAATCACTTTTAGATGCGGCTTTCCTAATTTTTTTTCTACCTCCCCCCAAACATGCACAAAACTTGGATGAAATACGATGGTTTTCAATGACTTTTTGTTTTTTTTTAAATAGAAAAGTGAGTCCTCCCTCCCCTTTTCTTAAAGAACATTCTTTAAATAGATGAACTTTTTTTTTGTTTTCCTGACTATTACTCAAATTGAAATGACTTACAGATTGTCTGACTGCTACTGATAAGTTAAAAATAAAATTCTCTTTTCAAAGGAGAAAAGTAAATAGAGAAACAAAAGTTACTAATTATGTCAGACACGTTCTTTTGGGTTTTCTGAATCCAAAATTACATTTGAACATTTGTATTAAACTGGCCTTAGCTTTTAAAATAATTTCCTCTATCACACTGATATTCTCGGTGGCATTTGTTGATGTTGTAATATGGTTAGTACAGTAGACTGAAGGTTGAAAAAGTTTAAGGTTCTAAGCTAAATGTTGCTGACATTCATTCCTTCATGAGAAAAAGAATGACTATCACTACTTGGCATTGACCTCAGTGTTCACTTTTATATTTACATGCACTATATTTGCTGATATTGAATAAATAAATATAGCATATCATAAAACTATATATATATATATATATATATATATATATATAATATGGTTCCCATTGGGGTTACAGGTTCAATTCCTGTCTAGAGAAGCACATATTTACTCCGAAATTCCTTGAAAATTCATGATGGTAAATGTAATTAATATGGTTTATTTAAAAAACAGCATTTAATTAAATAAATTGTATCTATTCAAAATAAAGTATAAACACACACACACATATATATATATATATATATATATATATATATATATATATATATATATATATATATATATAAAAGTTCAAATTCTCATCTCTTGTTTTGTTCATTTCACACTAATGCCCTTGGAAAAGGCATGAATCTGTCTTCCTCCAGCTGTGGGTTAAATTGCATTGCAGACTGGCTCACTTATATTTAGGGAAATCATGAATAGGGCTTGTTGGTTTCAATCTGTAGGAATGACTCCTAAAAGAACCTCCCCTCCCCAGATTTAAAAAAACAAATCTTACAGATGCATGCTGGGATTTCTTCCTAGCCATTAAGAGACACCATTTCTTGGTCTCATCTACCATATTTTTGTTCTTGTCTTGAAGTCACAATGTTGTCATTGCTTATCTGTATCCCCTTTTGTATATTAACACCATTTTTACTTTTTGAACTTTTTGACTTATTACTGTTGCTTTGCCTACTTTTGTCTTACACACACAGTGATTTTCCAAGTGTAGCTTAGATGTCGCACGAGGCTGACAGTTGCACTCAGTGAGAATCAAACTCACTACTCAGTCGTAATTGTTCTAGTGAGACAAGCTTGCTAACCATTACACCACCACGAGGTGCCCAACACACACACACACACACACATTATATATATATATATATATATATATATAATATTATATATATATATATGAGTTAGGTAATGAAATCTTTGGTAATACGTATGGATAATCTCAAGGAGGATGTAACCCAGAGAGCTCAATGTAAAACAGAGCGAGTATTAGTTTAATTAAAAAACAGACAACCGTTGATTATATTTTATTTCCCCAGGAAAGGGATATTTTCCTGGTTCCTCGGACCACACCTCCAAGCATGAAAGAAAATTGTTTAGAAATATGTTTGTCTGTCTTTATTCTTATTTTTTCTTTATTTTTATTTTCCTTTTTTGAATTTTTCCTTGTATATCCTATGTGAATATCTGTCCTTATATTTGTATCCTTATATTATTGATTATATAGACAAAAGTTGCATCTGATGAGTCATGAATTCTCATCGTGTCCCTCAGGAATATGTCTTCCATGGCTCATGAGAAGTGACTGCTTTTGTTCTGATTTTACACTATTTGTTACATCAGTCAGTATGTCTTCATCCAAAGTGTTGAAATAAAAAAAAAAAAGCAACAATCAGATTGAATAAGACTAATAATAAAGGGAAATGCATAATCTAAAATAAAAAAAAAAAATTCTAAAAAGCAAGTGAAACACTTGTATGTGTTTTATATAATAAGCACACTTCTTTATTATCTCTTTACGGTCTGATCAAAAAGTATCGAGATTGGAAAGAAAACATCAATTTGATATTTAATCTCCTTCAAAGGAGCCCCCCACCTTCTGAAGCCATACACTTTATCCAGCATTGTTTCCATTGATAGAAGCATTTTTAGAAGTCCTTTTTCGGGATAGTGAGAAGCTGCCTTATTGCTTTCTCTTGGATTTCCTAGACATCTTGAAATTTTGCTCCTTCCAAGTGGGATTCAATTTTTGGAAAGAGGAAAATGTCACAAGGAGCAAGATCTGGGGAATATCATAGTTGTTAGATCTGAGGAATGTTGCACTTGGGTAAATACTGCTACACAAGCCACGGTCACTGATTGAACCTCTATGGTATGGTGATATGAGCGCACTCTACACACTTTCCTTCCAAGCACTGTTATAAACAGTGGAAGTGAGTGAGAACATTATGACTTAATGTTTATACCCAACAGAGTTCAAGATCAATCTGTGCCAAGTGGCTTCTTGGGTACTTTAGCTCTGTTGCCATAGCAATAGACCTGATACTTTTTTATGAGACTTCATAAATTGTAATTTTTCTGTTTTTTTTTGGTCACATGATTAATGTGCACGTGTCTGTGTGAAAAAATGTAATTCTTCTTTTTTCTCTATACAAGTTGATGTAACATTTTTCTTGGTTACACATGTTGTAATTTTTATTCTAGAGACCTGAAAGTTGTTATCCTTGGAGATGTCAATGTGGGAAAAACCTCCTTAATATGTCGATACATCGATGGTAAATTTCTAGCTTCAGATCCAGTAAGTTTTTTGTCTTCATTCTTTCTTTTCCATTTTTTTCTTTCATTTTTTAATCATTTCACCCCAAGCAAGGCAATAAAGCCAATAAGATACATGGGTACCATTTTTTTTTTATCTTTTTCACTTTAATTTTATTTTGCTACTATTAACCATAATTTAATTAGCAATAATAAATATCATTTATTTTTTTTTTGTTTTTCTCAATTTTTTATCACTACACTTTGGGTTAATATATTTTTCATAATTTATTACAGGCTTTTCCCATTTTAATGTTGCTTTGAGTTGATATATTCTTCCATATTTCTTGTATCATTTTAGTGATTGTAATTAGACAATAAAAACATAATTTGATATTCTTTTTCAGACTGTTGGTGCGTCTTTTTTCATGAAACATTGGGGGCCTTACAATGTTGCTGTTTGGGTAAGTAACTACCATGACTGTGTCATCGTTAATCAAAGCAAATTTGATTCGTGTTTTACTTAAGTCTTTGAGAAAAAAAAATTGGAATTCTTAATTTTGTTTTTCTTGCATTTATCATTTTGAAAATATGTCTACATTCCATCGATGATCTCGGCAGAAATTAATAAAAACAAGAGAAAACATCTATTGTAATTTTTCTGCAGATAGTAATCTTATACTAAATACCCTACACTTGTCTTTTCATATTTGTTTGGTTGGTTGTTTTATTTTTAATCCATATCCGCTGCTGTTTTTTGTTTTTGACTGCAAAGTTTTTAATCTACTTCTGTTCAATAGTTGATATTATATTTTTGTTTCCACTGAGTTCAAGTACACACTTCCTGGCCCACGGATTAAACTCTCACTGTCACTAAATTCACAAAAGAACACTTTAATTCAATAGGCTATTGTTTCTAGTTCATTTAGTGTCCATTTGGATTCATTGGAAACAGTGCAAGTAATAACTGAGCAATATTAAAATTAAGAACTAGATGAGATATCCCAAGACATGGGGAGCAGCAGGAAAACAGTCTACCCAATAAAGGGTTCAGTTTAGAATTTTGTGTAACTAACTTGGATTGATATACATCTATTGAAGACTGGAACATACAAAACGTTATGGGAACAACAGTCTGAATGTAAATAATGACTCCTCATTCCCAAAATTCGGATAGAAATCGGTATCATTGTTTGCAATGTTATTTTCTAAAATTCTTTAAAACTAATTTTATTTGCTTGTCAATAATATGGTTATGGAAATTATCGGTAAATATTTTTCTGTTTCTCAATACTTTATAATGCGTGTTAAGAAGAAATTATTTTTGGTTGGTTCATCATGTTTTTTTTTAATAACAACTATTTTATTATCTCTAAGGAGATTCATTTTTGTCCCATCTTGGGTATAATAATAAACTACATCCTACAAGAAAGCCTCTGATCAGGAGATTTTGAGGCGCACGGAACAACCTCTTACTTGTCGCAGTTAGGATCAATTAGTTAATCCTCAAACTGGTGTCAAAACTTACAAATGTATAAAAATACAGTTTTAAAGTAAGAACATCAGCAATACATTTTTCATTTTTAAAAAAAAATTACCAGCAATATATTATTGCAAATAAAATTACTAATGCTCCCAAGAAAATTAAATTTTGGTATTAAATGACCCATAAAGATGTTGATATGCCAGTAAACAAACAAATTCACTTTAGTCATGAAGATGATGAGGTTTTGCTTGTAGGTTTTTTTTTTATATAACGAAATAATAAAATCGTGACAATTAGCATTTGTGAAGACATCAAGTAAAGCGATTCTATGATGAATGTTAAGTTTCCACAAAATTTTCTTTAATGATTTAAATTAGGTATGTTCAATACTTTGCTAAAAAAGAGCATACCCTGATAAAAAAAGGCCCCAAACTCACTTTAAACAATTTTATCATCTAAATGTTTATTATTAAAAGGAAAAACCTAAGTATTTTTTAATATTTTAAAAAGATTTTTTTAATCCTTTCTAGCATATCTGAAATTTTAGTTAAAAATCTTTTTTTTTTTGAGTCAGCAAAATTTAAATAAAATCAATCATAGCCATTTTTGACAACATTGTAAACAAAAATGAAATTCTCTGTTTAAAAATCTTGTAAAATTCAATTATACTTTTTTCAAAAGATACTTTAGGAAAATAGAAAATTTAAAGTATACATAATGTAATTTGAAACAAACATTACTTAATTTTTCTGCAGAAAAAATTTAGTTGGAAATAAGAGAAGCATATCTAACTGTGGTGATTGGTTTTAGAAGTGTGAATTGACATTTACATCAATGTATTGTCAACTAACGTCAGGGCAATTTGTCGGATGGAAGAGTAGAAGTGACATTATTTTCGAATTTTAAGTTAACCAGCTTATTTAACTATAAAGTAATTTTTGAAAATTAAATACTTTCAAACGTCTAATATTTTATTGATTTTTTTTTTTTCTTTTAGGTACTTTTTTTTTTTAACAAAGATATGTCCAAACCCCACACTGTTTCTGTTCCTAAAATTGATTATATTTAAAAAAATAGAAATTATATTTAGTGAAATATGTAAAATTAAAAAAAAAAAAAAAAAGAAAATAAAAACTTTTGAAACTGCAACGATGAAGGTTGGTCAACATGGGACATTATTTCTGAATTGCTGTGCCTCCATAGTTTTGATGAAAACAAATTTAATACATTTTTTGGCATATTAAAAAATTATTTTAAAAATAGAAACACTTTGCAGATTGTAATAAGCTTTAAAATTTAAGATTTGTAAAAACAGATCTTTTAATAAGAGCATTTTCAGAAATACACATATTCAAACTTAATTTTGAAATATTTAACAAATTTTTCACATTTTGTGTTTAAAATTGAAAAAAAAAAAAAAAAAACAATTCTTGTAAAGATTAATTTTTCATTGAAAAAATATTTTGGTTTCCGACAATAATGTCCTTAATATATATTATTCATAAAAGCCATTAAAAGCTTTTTTTTAATTAAGTAATGTCTTAGTTTTATTGGATTTTTTATTTTACAATTCAGGACTAAAATTTGGCTAGAAACACTCCTCGATTTACAAAAAAAAAAAAAATCAATGATTTATATTCTTCAAAGTCTTTTGCATTTAATTAAAAAATTACAAAAGTACACATATTAGAGTTTTCATAAAATTAAGGGGAGGGGTAACAGATGTAAAAAAAAAAAAATATAATTTTACCATGACTTTCTAAAAAAACAAACATTTCTGAAATAATTTCATTCATTTTTGAATAAGTTTTGAAAGTTTCATTAAAATCTGACAATTATTTGATTTTTGCAAGAATTTCCAAATTAATTTTTCTTCACCTGAAAAAAAAGTGCTAAAAAAGTAATGCTAAATATTATGCAACTGCTGATGTAAAGAAAAAAAAGAAACAATTTTCAACCAAAATTTTAAAAAAAATAATTAAAAAATATTTTGGTCTTTCCTTTTATTAATGACATAACTTTTGAGGCCTTTTTTCATCATGCTATGCTATTTTGGGGAAAATTATTAAACATACCTGGTTTAAATCCATCTAGGTTTTTCATTTAGTATGAATCTATCCTTGATTTATTGAACATATTAAAGATTGTTTTTCTCTTCTGTGAAGTTCCAAGAGGCAATTACATAGCCAGGCAGTTAGTCTGCATTTAAATGTTGCTGTAATGATCAGAAAACTCTACTTGTTCTGCAGGATAGAACTTACTTATATAGAATAGTTGCTATGGAGTTGGAGTAAAGAACACTTATATGTGTTTTGTATTACTATTTAGATTTTTTTTTTTTTGACATAGGCTTTGGTAAAGAGGCTTTCAATGTCCAATGAGGCAAGGGTGGTGCTATTAAGTTTATTTAAGTGCACTATTTCAAAAAATTTGTTGGTGGAATTAACATTATATATATGGCTTGATCAGTTGGTTTAAAGTTTTGGATAAGTGATATGAGGGCAGGAATTTGTGAAGTTGTTGGACATAGAAGTGAGCCAATTTTGATTTGTATGTGCAACAACTTATTCAGAAACCGGAAAAAATATAATAAAAGAATTAAACAGGCCAACCTTGTCAGTTGGAATTGATAAAAACTTGTTACATAGTATTGTAGGGGACCGTGGCGGTGGTGTTGATAGAAGTAGAAGACACATGTGGGGTTAAGATTTTCCTGCTAGCCGCTCCAACTACATGAGAAAGTTGGACTTTAATTAAGTTCAAAGAAGGCAAAGAAAAACAAACACAAGACCGATAAATAAACAAATATATGTATTAATAACAAGAAAGGTTACAAGTTACATGGACAGAGTGCGTGTGGTGAATATTATGCGTGTGTGTTGTGGTGAGTGTTCATACGTACGTGTATTGTTCTTAGTGTCTTCCCAGCATTTGGGAAACGTATCTGTGAGCGTTCACATCTGCGAAGTGGTAAGGCTGAAAGCCTGAGGCAAAAAGATTTACCTCAAGGTGGCGGCCCAAAGGCCTGAGGGGAAAAAGAGGAAGAGGCGAAGGGTCAGCGAGTATTTATAGCCAGGGAAGAGAGACCCCTGGTGAAAGGTAAGGAGCTAAGGAGGAGCTAACTCCCGACAGTATGATTTAAAATGGTTAATTTCAGACTTAATGTGGCTTGCTGCAAAACAAATTTACAGGCTTGAGTTTGTTTTATAAAATTTATGATATTAAAATACAAAACATTTAATCAGAGATTTAGAATATAATATGGTCTATTGGTTCTTTTCTAAATAATCAAAATGACAAAAAACAAAAACTAGAATTTAAATTGAGAATTTAATACTATTTAAACTAAGAATGTAGAAATAATAAATTGAGTTGGTGAAATAAAATCTGATCTTTGTAAGTTGATATCTCACCAGCTGAATCTATGTGCAGAAAATTAGATTTGCTGTTCCAGTTTTTTACCGCTTCTCATTAGCTTATATTTTAATATAAAATTCATTGTTGGGCCAAAAGTGTGCATTTGTTGTTTTTATGTATGTGAGTATATCGCTCATTGTACAGATAACAAATCACTTGTACAATTACGCAAATATATAAACCTTATCTTTGGCAATAAGTGCAGAATTTTTATCCTACTTGATAGTTACAAATAAGAGATTTCTTTTTTTTCTTTTTTTAAACACTATATGAAAGAATGTCTGTTGTTGAAACACTAAATGTAGTACTGCATTCTGGGGATCAGAATCATTTGTCATGATACCAAATGTGACACTACATTATGGCTTTGGCAATGTCTTGGACAGCAAACTTGTGCCAATTTATATAGTACAGTTATATAACAATTTATTGATTTGTTTTTCTTCCATATTAATGTGGATGCATTGCCATGTGATGCCATTTTCATTTATTTGACTATGCTATTTTGTTTTTTCAAATCTGTGAAAAGAAAATGATTCCTTTTTGTACATTAAAGAATTTTGAAGTTATGTTGCCTCATCTTGAAGATACAGCTTTTTGTTTTTAATTATTGAAAATTGTCAAATCCTCAACATTTTGTGGGTATTTTAGATTACAAAGAATGTGAATTCATCTTTTTGTACAACAGGAAAATTAAATGGTATTAATTTCCAAATTTGGAGCGGCTGATCTTGAAAACAATAAAAAATTTTCTGTCGACAAGAGCACTAATTAATGGTAGTGAAGAGGAAAAGTTTAATTTTGTTCAAAATTGAATGTAATTTATATTTGGTTGGAGATTACAATTTCATCACTTTATTTCTCTTTTTTTTTTTTACCTCAATAAGGACACAGCTGGAGAAGAAAAATACACTGGTCTCTCTTCATTCTACTGTCGCAATGCAGGAGCAGCCATTTTTGCTTTTGACCTGAACTGTATGAAATCCTTCGATTCACTTGGGTGAGTGTTTGTCATTAATCAACTGAAATAATGTCAGCTTAATGCTTAACCTTTTGAACCTTGTCCTCTGATGAGCATGGATCTCCCACCCTGAGACCTTGCTGCCTATCTCTGCTCTCCATAACACTGGGCAGCATACCAGCCACCTTGGTATATACACTTTTGCATAGTCTCCGTTATACAGTGTAGCCATAGGAATCAATAAATACTGAATGGTGAATATTAATTTCACATTTCAATGCGATCTTTAGACCTTCCTTTATAAATATAGCAAATTTTAACAATATCTCTATCAAGCACATTTTTGTCAGTAACATTTGCATTCATTCTTGACCCCTGACAATCCTTTTAATTCCTGAAACTTGTGTAAACAAATTTTACATTAAAAAAAAATTGTATTAAATCAAATTGCTTTTCCTACTACCAGAAATATTCCATTTGTTAGAGGAAATGACTAAATCATTCAAAGGTTTGTCGGTGGGAGCAGTAGCCTTGTTAATATCATACATGGGAGTTGAATGCATTTAATGTTACAAAGACAACTAGAACTTGGTATGATCAGAGCTTACAAAAACACTTAGTTTGTGTTTGTTTTTCTGTGTGTCTTATATATATATATATATATATATATTTTAGGATATTACATCAAAAACATCTCAAAATCACTAACAACTGCAGTCGTGTTTCAATGCGCATGTGATTGTAAATTACTGGTGAGTGAATGATTTATTTAGATTTAAAAGCAGAATACAACCTCTTTTTACTGTTTAACGTCTGTACTGCCATTGACTGACAATCTATGGGTCATCACCCTTTCATGAAAAATAATTTTTAATTTTTGCTTAGTTTAAATTTAACAGAGGTCATACATATTCAATTGGTAAAAGGCCATGAACCTTGAAATCCCAATTTTTTTTATTTTCGTAAAAAGGGGTTGTAATTTGCTTTTAAATCTGAATAAATTGTTTACTTGCCAGTAATTTACATTCACCTGATGAAATGCATTGATACACATCAAAACACGACTGCAATTGTGTACCGATTTTGACATGTTTTCAATGTAATATCCTAAAATAAATAATATTGCTCTACTTTGTATACAAGCGCTTTTTTAAATTAAATGTTACAAAACGTTGAAATTGTACTTTGTTCATTCTCATCTTACTTGGAGATATATGGTGGACTCTCTCTCTCATCACGGATGACAAATGACGGCTCAGTAAAATAAAGAGGTGATCAACTTCTATGGGCATATAAGTGTTGACCTTGATGCTGACTTATATTTACATATGCTCTATCCTTGATATTGAGCACTTTAACTCTTTAAGACTATATTTTTATCATATATATATATATATATATGGAAGAGGTTATGTTCCAACAAGAGAAAAGTGTATATTTTAAAAAGAGAGAAACCGTAAACTTTTTTAGTTGTAATGTGGATTTTTTTTTAAAATGTATATTTTAATTTCCTACATGGGTTTCTGGTCTCATGACATTCTTCAGGTAAAGAATGGATATTTCCACATATTATTAAAATGAATTAATTTTCCTTATGGTTTTTGATGTTAAATTAATTAAGGAAAACAATTTTACAATATCATGGTGGTAGGTTAATTAGCTGAAGTACTGGTTGTACCAGGTGCTTCAACTTTGTATAAACCCTGTATTTTTTTGCATAGTGTGTGGAGATGTTTTATATTCCACCCATTGGTAATTGTCTTTTCTCTTTCTAAAATCTTATTTTTGTTTCTCTTCTTGCAGAGTACGATTTCTTCCATTACTTGAGTCAGCTCGGGAATGTTGCCTTAAGGTTCTTGTTGGAACTAAACTCGATCTGATGACGCCAGAGTCTCGGCAAGTCTCCGCAGAAGCTGCTGAAAAGCTGGCATTAGAAATCAACGCTGACCAGCCAATCGAGAAATTGCAAAAGGCTCCTTACTTTGAAACTTCTAGTAAGACTGGACACAATGTTGATGAAGTATTTGATTATATTCTTCAGTATTGCCTTCCCCTTTCACCAGATCAAATTGTCCGAAGACCAACAGTTTCAAAAAGTACAATAAATCTTACAGACATGAAATCTGAGTCCAGTATAGAAGATCACAAAAAGTGCTGTGCATAAAAAAAGAAAATATTAGAAAAAAAAAAAAACGAAAAAAAAAAAGCAAAAAAAGATGTAAAATAAAACTTGTATATATATATAAGACGACATTAATAAATAAGAATAATAATAAAAAAAAAAAAAGCCATGATTAAGTCACATGACTTTTAGCCTTGTGAGGGGAAAACAATGTATTGTAGTGTTTTCCTTTAATGAAATAATCTGTGATTGTTTTGTGTTTGAAAGAGAAATATCTGAAGCCTGTTTTAAAATTCCTCAATACAGAAACAAGCACTTATTTGTAGTTTGTTGTGATCAATTTCCAAAAGTCTGTTGGGAAAGGCAGAAGGTAATCAGGAAAATGTAACAGAATATTTTTTTTTTTTCTGTTTGCTTTTCAATTCCATTCCACCCTTTTTTTTTTTTTTTTTTTTTAAATGTTTAATTTCTATGTATTTATAATATTAATTATTTCAGGTAAGCATGAAGTTATGCTAATTGGTAATATTTGATGCAATGAATTTCTTGATACACATTTATATATGTATCAATAAAGTTAGACTAAAAATTCTGACAGATTCTGTTTGCAGATCTGTATCCTCCATTTAATCTTCTACATTGACATGTTTTGAAATATTAAAGTCTAATATGGGAAGGCTAGTTAAGAATGCTGTCTTTGGTTAAGTTTACAGGCTACAAAAATGAATGATAGTTGCACCAAATATTTATGTGAAACATTTTAGTTTGAAAATTCTCCTCAAAGTTGAATCCACATTTAAAAAAAAAAAAAAAAGAGAAAAAGTTGATGCTTTCTTGAAATGATCATCAATACAAACCCCAGTCATCATCATAAGTCTCATGATTGGGTGTGGTTTTAGGGTCGTTGAGAACTTGACCAGTTCACTTCACATTAAATTGGTTGCTTACCAATGTCTCAGTCTCTGTGAATGATCTTCCAGTCTGCTTGATGACATTGTCAACCCATTTTTTTCTGCTTCTATTGCCTAAGTGGTGTGGTACCTTATAGGATGGCAGTGGAAAGATTGACGACTCTTTTCGTGACATGCCCATGCTATTGCAACTTCCCTTTCTAAATGGTGGTTATCAGGTCTTCCAGCAAGGCTTCTTTCTTGTTTGATCCTGGCTTGCACTGCCTCATTTCTAATGTGGTCTATGTAGGAGGTACCTGAGATGATGCTGTAGCATCTCTTTTCTAATACTTAAATTCTTTGCCGTAGTTCTGCTGTTAGCAAACTTTAAGCTTCAGCATAAAAAAATAAAAAAAAAATCTTTTTTCCAATTTAACTTGAATGTATCACCTCAAAATTTGTTGCAGTTAACATTTTTTTTTTTACAATGTCCAAAATTAAGATGAATTTGATTATTTTGGGGCATCTGAACTGTGACCCTCATTACTAACAAGGGCCCTAACCTGACATTTCTCAGTATCAACTGAATCTCACAATAATGGAGATGTTTTTTTTCTTGAGCAGTTGATCAAATGTTTGAATAAAATTTATTTTGTTACAGCATTTTTTCTTTGTAAATGTTTCAGTTGACTAGATTGTATTTTTATCAAAAAGTGTCAAAAGACAAAGTCAAAGAATTTCAAAACAAAGAAGGTCATTTTTTTTTATTTACTAATTGTAGGCAATCGTTATTATTGTTTCAAACAAGAAATGTGTTTTTAACCATTTAATTTTTTGTAGTCAAGAAATTGTGATAAGGTAAAAAGTTTTGAATCTTTATTTTGATTCCAATATATTTGCTTTAGAAATAAGATGTAAACAAGCATTAAATATTAACAGGTAAATAGAAGTTACTTATATGAATGAGATGATATAAAAAAAAACTCAATATTAAAATACAAAATAGTTTCCTCATAGAGAAAAATGATTATTTTTCTTGAATTGATTTCAAGAGACTTTGTGATGTTTAAATAACTTGACAATAGTAAAATCTATTCAAGTGATTCTGAACATTTCTTCAATTTGTATCTTATCATTTACTCATTCTAGTCTTACAGACACTCTTTTATTTTTGATGCAAACTGCTTCTCATCTTGTATAGTCTTTAATATGTTTAGTTCTAAAATTGATTTAGATGACTTCTGGATTGGCAGAGTTTTCATTAAAAACAAACTTACACTTGTCTCTGAAGCCATGAATCTGGTCAGCAGTTGTCTTGACCTCGTTTCACCTGATTATGCCGGTAAATTGCAAATTAAGTCACCGCATAATTTATTCTTATCTACTTAGGTAATACCAATTACGACTGAAGCTAGTGTTGAACTTGGAGACTAGCTTTTAAATGCTTTTTGTTTTATTTAATTGCTAATTTATCTTAGTGAAAATGAAATTTATATGTCATATATTTTATATATGTAAATCATTGTTTCTCTACATTTTCTTGTCAGGTTCTGAATATTAAAGTAAAAACTAAAAGTAGAATTAAGTATAGATAACCACTGACCCTCAGCCTTGTTCCATTTGTTATAATTTAAACATATTGTGCCAAAACTCAAACTTACTACATGACTTCTAGTCTAAATGCATTGAGGAATAGATGAATCTATTACATCAAAATGGACAATTCACACATCTCTATGTAGTGGACTCTTCTCATGATGTAGAAAAAGTTACACACACCTTTTATTTATATATATATATATATATATATATATATATATATATATATATATATATATATGGTTGGATAGATGCGAGTTTTTGACCCTGGGTTTCACGCTTTAGCGATTGTCAGACAAACTGATTAATGTTTTAAAAATTTGGGTTTATGTAGATTGCGTATTGATGTTATTGTGGAAGTGGTGGGGAAATTTCGTCGTTTTGTCATTCATCATACGAACAAAACATCGATATATGCAGACACATATATATATATATATATATATACTTGGTCGTCCGTCAGGACTCATACATATATAAACATATGTGGGCAGTTTCGGCTATGACACATGTATGTATACGGGTGGTGTTATGTCTATCTATCCAACCAAATATGTTAGCTCTATCTCTGATATTGAGCGCTTTCTAATAAGTACCGCGCATATAATATATAAATAATTATACATATATATATATATTTATTTATATACACTTTTCATATAAATAAATTTTAAAATAGTTATGTTTCACTGAATTTTGTTTTGGTTTCACATATTTACAACATGTCAATTGATAAAAGTTTTTGATTGAAAACTGAATATTTTCTTGCTAAAAAAAAAAAAAAAAGTTCAATGAAACCAACAATTCTTGTGGCATAGAAGAAAGGGTGGTAACTGAATAAAATAAAAAAAAAATTCTCTTAGAAAAATAAGGACTTCAGGATGCAACGAATTATGAAAATGGATTCATTAGCTGCAAATGATAGAGATTTTTTTAATTTAATGAATCAAACTCTTTCTCACTTTAATAAAGTGTTAATGTTAATAGTATTGAATGGATTTTCACCATGTCCTGCCAATTTCATTCTCATCCCCAACAACTGTTACAACATCCACATTCTTCAGCAAGATATTATTATAATCTGACAGAGCAAAGCTACTGCTAAAATCATATCCAATCTAAATAAATGAAAGCCATAAGGGTAGAAATTATAATTATTATTATGAATAAAAGATTTCCACACTTGAGAAGACATAAGCTCTGAAAGTGTTTTTCAATGTGCTTCTTAAGAATTATTGTCAAAACACTTCCTTCCTTATGATTTGGAAGATGTTTCTCATCAGATATTCAGTCAGAAATTTGGGCAGATTTCAAGCTCTGTTTTTCTCAAGCCAAGAATTTGTTGGCTAAATGTTGATTATAGATTCATTTTGGTGCGATTCATTTGCACTGAAAGCTGATGTAGTATTTGTGCTGCATAAGGTTTCGCTGTGACTTTACGATATGGGAGTGAATCAAAAGGTCTGTAGCCTGACATGCAGCTAGCTGAATCTTGTGAATTAAGTGCATTGACAAGGTAGAGCATTATATTGAGGCATTAATATACAAAGTTGTTTCTTGGTTGTAAATTTATTTGAACTTTGCTGCTAATTTGCTGACATTTTTCCAAATAATTTGCTTTTTAAATGATAAATTGATGGATTTGTTTACAGCAAGCCTTAGTAAAATAAATAATTTAAGTATTTTCTTGCTTTTCAGGCGACTAGGATTCTACCTAAAATATTTTTGTGTCCTAATGTTAATCACCAATTAGACAGAATTTAGTCCTAACTAAAATGTTATTAATTTCTATGATTTTAAAATTCCTTTGAAATGTAATGATTTGCTAATTTTTACTGATTTTGTTTGCAGACAATCTCCTTTTTATATTAGTTTGTCACATTTGTAAAATTTTGTTTTTCTTTATTGCTTCTCTTTGTACAAAGATTAGGTTTTGTTTTCTAGAAAGTTCTAAATTCTGTCAGTTTGATCTGTTTTCTTTGCCCCTTTTTTTTGAATCTTGGTTAAGCAACATTGTGTTTGATAGTACTGAATGGGTTACCAGTTTCCAACTAATGTTGAAAAAAAAAAAACTCAGTTAAGTGTTGAGGAGGGCAATAAAGATATTGTGATTTATAATAATAATAACCTTGTCTTTGTTCAGTCATCTTTTGTTTGCAGAATATAGTCAGGGAATCGTGTTAATAGCTTGACTACTTAAAGATCTTTTCATCACATAAACCAAAATGCAAGTTAAATACCTTGTCATTAAGAAAAAGAAATATCAAGTCGAACAGCAAAATGACAAATCTGTTTGTTTTTAATATCTGAGTGTTTATGGAAAACAAATTATTTCTCAATATTTTATATTGGGAACTTTTGTGGGATAAAAGGCATGATAATTATATAATGACATTGCTTATTTGAAAGGAGGGGAGATGGACACATGTTTTGTTTTTCTTAAAGTTTTAGTGTAAATAAAAAATGTTAAGAGAAAAACCTCGCCTTTTAAAGATCACAGCTTAGGTTTTGCAAAA